ATATATATACATATTTTACATGTTTAATTATTTTTTATTTTTGTATTTTCTGCTTTCATTTTAATGAAAGTTTTAGTAATTTTTGTTATTATAGTTATAGTTTATATAGCTTATATCCTTTTTATTTAAGTTTCTGTTTGATCTTTTTTAGTACGTCAAGTTAAACTAAATGCAAATGAAAAATGTTGCTTTGGCAAGTCTTTTTATATAGTTTATTTCCATTTCAATTGAATTTCAGCTAATGTTTATTTTATTTAAAGTAACATTTTTTATGGATTAATTTTAGTTAACTACAATAAACCTGGTGAAATAAATGTTCCAAAAGTTGTTGTCATACAGCTCCATCGTGTTGCACATTTAATTCAGCGAGTAGCATCTAGTTATCCTCTTGAAATGAGTTACTTTGCATTTTGAATCCATGCATGCATGCTGAATATTCTCATACTGTGCACAACACAGGCTACATGATTAGAGGAATCACTCATATGTCCACACACGAGCTTAGTAACAGTGATGATTGACTTCTGAGTGTTTAAGAGTCGCTCTTTTCTCTCACCTTCCTCCTTCTCCTGTCCTCGTCATCTACATATTTCTCCTTCTCCGATTTCTTCTTCTTCTTCTTCTTCTTCTCTTTGTGCCGCTCCCACTCGTGGTCAGAGCGGTCGTCATAGTAACTGGAGTCGTGGCCGGATCCGGAGAGCTCGGTCACTTCACTGCCGCCCACCTTGAGCACCAGCTTCAGCGGTTTATCCAGGGGTTTGTCCTCGTAGTCTGAAAAACCACACACAAAGCCATCAAGAGTCGAAATTGAAGATTTATTTGGTACATGACTTAATGACATTATTCTGCTGTTCTGGAGGAACTTCTCATTCACTTCTAGTAATAGACTACAAGGAGCATCACAATACTATAGTGTAAATACAACAAAATACCCCCACCCTGATAGTCCTGTTAAACTAAATACAGCAATAAAAACCCTCTAGAGGTGTGTATTTCCTTTACGATAATCGTTTAGACCAGGGGTTTCAAAATAGGGTCCGGGGACAGGGTAACAAATGTAAATAATTATAATAATAATAATATTAAACTAAGTAAATAAACAATAAAATAATATATAATAAATTAATTGTTTATTTAATAAAAAAAAATAGTATAAACTAACTAAATAAAATTTTTTTTTTCAGGATTCTTTGATGAATAAAAAGTTAGAAAGAACGGCATTTATTCAAAATATAAATATTTTCTAACCATATAAATCTTTGCTGTCACTTCTTATCAATTTAACACATTCCTCGCTGAATAAAAGTTTTAATTTCTTTCAAAAAAAGAAAGAATAAAAATGTACTGACCCCAGACTTCTGAACGCTAGTGTATATTGTTAGAAAAGATTTCTATTTTAAATTAACGCTCTTCTTTTTAACTTTTTATTCATCAAAGAGTCCTGAAAAAAAAGGTATCACATGTTCCAAATAAAATATTGTGCAGCACAACATTGATAATTCTAATAAGAAATCAGCATATTATACTGATTTCTGAAGATCACGTGACGCTGAAGACTGGAGGAATGATGCTGAAAATACAGCTGCGTATCACAGAAATACATTACAGTTTAATGTATATTAAAATAGAAAAACTTTATTTTACATCATAATAATTTTTCACAATATTAAAATTTTCCCTGTATTTTTGATCAAATAAATGCAACCTTGATGATATATATATATATATATATATACATATTTTACATGTTGAATTATTTTTTATTTTTGTATTTTCTGCTTTCATTTTAATGAAAGTTTTAGTAATTTTTGTTATTATAGTTATAGTTTATATAGCTTATATCCTTTTTATTTAAGTTTCTGTTTGATCTTTTTTAGTACGTCAAGTTAAACTAAATGCAAATGAAAAATGTTGCTTTGGCAAGTCTTTTTATATAGTTTATTTCCATTTCAATTGAATTTCAGCTAATGTTTATTTTATTTAAAGTAACATTTTTTATGGATTAATTTTAGTTAACTACAATAAACCTGGTGAAATAAATGTTCCAAAAGTTGTTGTCATACAGCTCCATCGTGTTGCACATTTAATTCAGCGAGTAGCATCTAGTTATCCTCTTGAAATGAGTTACTTTGCATTTTGAATCCATGCATGCATGCTGAATATTCTCATACTGTGCACAACACAGGCTACATGATTAGAGGAATCACTCATATGTCCACACACGAGCTTAGTAACAGTGATGATTGACTTCTGAGTGTTTAAGAGTCGCTCTTTTCTCTCACCTTCCTCCTTCTCCTGTCCTCGTCATCTACATATTTCTCCTTCTCCGATTTCTTCTTCTTCTTCTTCTTCTTCTCTTTGTGCCGCTCCCACTCGTGGTCAGAGCGGTCGTCATAGTAACTGGAGTCGTGGCCGGATCCGGAGAGCTCGGTCACTTCACTGCCGCCCACCTTGAGCACCAGCTTCAGCGGTTTATCCAGGGGTTTGTCCTCGTAGTCTGAAACACGGCACACGAAGTCATCAAGCATCAATTCTAAACTGAACAGACTTTAATGACTTTTCTGTGCTGTAAACTCTTATTCTGCTGTTCTGGAGGAGATGTGCTCTGTGTAGTAATAGACTACAAGGAGCATCACAAGATCAAACCCACTATCTAGTGTAAATACAACTGAATACCCCCCGATAGTTCATTTAAACTAACTACAGTAAATAAATCCAGAAGTGTGTATTCCCTTTACTGTAATTGTTTGGACCAGGGGTTTTTAAAATAGGGTCTGTGGACAGGGTAACAAATGTAAAAATAATAATAAACTACATAAATAAGCAATAAAAAATTAGAATAAAACATTATTTATAATATTAAATAATGATAAATAATAATAATAAAATAATAAATAATTTAAATAAATAAATAGAATAAAATAAAATGAATCTAAATAAATAAAACATTTTATTACAATAATAAATAAACCAAATAGATAATAGAAATAAGACTAAAAATTAAATAAATGAAAAAAGATTAAAAAAACAACAACAAATAAATTAATAACAGAAATTTATTAAATTAAATAAATAACATATTTAACAGTACAGGGAAACAAATGTAAAAATAATGTTAAACTAAATAAATAAGCAATAAAAAATTAGAATAAAATATTATTTATAATATTAAATAATGCTAAATAATAATTATAAAATAATAAATCATTTAAATAAATAAATAGAATAAAATAAAACGAATCTAAATAAATAAAACATTTTATTAAAATAATAAATAAACCAAATAGATAATAGAAATAAGACTAAAAATTAAATAAATAAAAAAAACATTTGAGCAAAATAACAAATAAATGAATAACAGAAATGTATTAAAGTAAATAAATAACATATTTAACAGTACAGGGTAACAAATGTAAAAAATAATAATACAAATAATATTAAACTAAATAAATAAGCAATAAAAAATTAGAATAAAATATTATTTATGATATTAAATAATAATAAATAATAAATCATTTAAATAAATAAATAGAATAAAATAAAATGAATCTAAATAAATAAAAAAAATATTAAAATAATAAATAAACCAAATAGATAATAGAAATAAGACTAAAAATTAAATACATTTTAAAAAACATTTTAATAACAAATAAATTAATAACAGAAATGTATTAAAGTAAATAAATAACATATTTTACAGTACAGTACAGAGACTAGGGGCAAAACTTTCCAAATTATTTTCCAAAATAAAAATACATTTTCCAAATAATATTCTACACATTTATAAAATATTAAAACCTCTCATTATACTTTGGGTCTTTAAGTATGAAAAGATTCAGCTGCCTTTCAGCGTCTAGGATCTAAAGATCGTAGCCCCATGATTTAGACATACATAATTATGAAGTAAATAGATTATTAGTGTATTCTTGTGTGCATAAAAACAAGTGCATCATGCATTTATAGACTAGTTGGAATAATACACAGACTTGCATATCGCAGATCTAATATTTTAGTTACCTCCTTCAACCTTCCTCCACTCGGGTTTGTGTTTCTTGTGCTTCTTCCCCATCTTTGCCTTTATTTATGAGGAAAAGTCAGGTTTAATCTTCTTTAGCTTCGACGCAGCAGCAGCAACAACAACAACAACATTAGCAGCTACGGTTAACTTCCGGTTTCAGGCGGTGTCGCTTCCGGCGCGGGCTGACGTCACCGTTAACGCGGTAAATTCGCTGTTGTGGGGTTAGATTCCTGACAAATTGTAATCCGTTACTGATTGCAAGTTACACGATAAAAACTGCGGTTAGTAACGTAATCCGTTACATTACAATATAATCAGATTACGTTTGACCTAACGCGTTTATCACATTGAGTTAAATAGGATGATCTTGTACCATAGTGATATAAAAATACAAAGAGAAAGAAAATATATTCTATTTATTGTAATCAACAACATGCATTTATCATTACGTTACCTCAAGGTTTGTAAGTTAATAATTGAATCATAATAATGTAAAATTAAAATAAATAATTTCAAAATGACAACAATTAATTAAAAAAACAAACAAAAAAATATATAAATATATATAAATATAATAAAAAAAATTATTTTGAGTATTTTAAAATGTAAATTAATCTAATACTTCATTTTTGTAATCTGATTACGTAATCCAGATTACATGTAATGAGTTACTTCCCAGCACTTAGCTTTTCTGCCTAGTTTGCTAGTTTCTGGGTTTGTTGATAAATCTGATATTGTTTACGTCACATTTGAATAGCGATATGCCGGTATCAAATTTTCATGTTTGCAATTAATTGCTAATGCTTTTATCACGGTATACGGTATTATCACGATATTGCAATTCAGTTAAAAAACCGTGCTGTCATAATACAGTATAACAACTTTTTTCTTATAACAAAAATAACTGCACATTTAAATGCAATAAAGCAATACAGAAAAATGTATAAAGTTAAAAGTTTTACACAGATTAAAGTGCAAAAGAACTATAAAGACCGATAGGTATCACTTTACAATAAGACCTCATTAGTTAAGCTTAGTTAATGCATTAACATTCCCAACGAGCAATAGCTACATTTGCTACAGAAGCTATTAATCTTTGTTTAAAAAATACAAGTCTCAGTTCATGTTAGCTCATTAGATAACACAGTTGCAACTTTCGATTTTAACAAAGTGTTATTAAATATTGGAATACGTAAGATTAATGAATGTTCAGAAGAATTTTTCATTGGCAGTTTATGTTAACTAAGGAATTAACTAATGTAAAGTGTGGCCAAATCAAAACACTTATCAAATAATATCTAGGGCATGTTGTATTTATTTAGTTTGAAAATAAATAGCCTATTAAGTCTGAATATGTAAGTATTTGGCGCGGTGATGAACATCAGAGCAAACACACAAATCTGAATGGCTGTTTAAATCATTTAAACACGATTCAGAAACAGAAAGTAGTGCAGCTGCTTTGTTTAAAGGGTTTCCGGGGAAACGGCTGCATTTAAATTAATTATTATTATTATTATTATTATTATTATTTCTGCAGTTTAGCGCCATCTGCTGTCAGAGAGTGAAAGTGCGCTTTCATCCAGCGCGTCTCTCACATGTTTTGACCAGTTGATGGGAAAAGTATTCTTAAAATGCATTCAAAACTCTGAATAATTTGTAATATATAATTATTCACGGTATTTAGAAGTGCCCACGATAACAATATCGTGCATATTCATTACCGTGATATATCGCAATACCGAATACCGGTCTACATTTGAATTTGGCGTTATTTTTCATTGTCTGTTCTTCAGTCACCAGCTGTTTCAGTAATGGACATTTCTGATCATCACATGACTGACCTCGGCATCATCCACCAATCTGAAGTGCACATAGAGGTTCACCTGAAATCGCAGAGGTAATTCATGAATTAATGAACTCTACTCCAGGTTCATTCTACGCAGTTTGGAAAAGTATGGAATTTGATTTTAGTAATTCCCAGGTCTGGGAAAGTATGGAAAAAAGAAAGCAAATATTTGCATATCCATACTTTTGCCCCTATTTAGTTTTCTATAATAGAAAATAGGGCTGCACGATTATGACAAAAATCATAATGGTCGATTATTCCCTTGAGTTTATAATTGCGATTATTAATTACGATTATCACAATTTACATTGAATGATGTTTATACCATTGTTTGATGCAACTGCATGCCGTATTTTTATATCAAAATAAACAAGCTGAAAACACTCTAACTGAACAACCTTTAGTGCTTTTCTATAGTATTAAGCCTCAAATGTCAACTACACATCGGATTGGTTTCTTCTGTAAATTATAAAAAAAGTACAAATATGAATGGTGTTATAATGTTACACTAAAACTAAAACAATGGAAAAACCCTTAAGATAACATGTAGAAAGAAAAAAACATATCTTAAGCGCGCAGAATAACATAAGTGGACTTTGAACGATTAATTGCTTTTTACATTTCTGAAGTAAAGTTAGTTAACACTGTTTCTGGTATTACACTGATATTTAAAGAGTTCTGGTGCAAAAGCCTCTAAGTGCCGTTTGAAATTTTCTTCCAAAATTAGCATTTTTATCAGGCTCCTATATATTTTTAGGTTCTGTCATTTTACTTTAATGGCAAATGTATAGGTCCTTTTCTAAGCCATTAAAGTAAAACAACTGGACATAAAAATATATAGGAGCCTGATAAAAATGCTAATTGCAGAAGAAAATTTCAGACGGCACTTAGAGGCTTTTGCATCTGAGCTCTTCAATTGTCTGCATGTGAGTCTGGTCTGAGTTTGTGTTTGCAGCACAGCCAAGAGGTCTGAGGTGAGGACGCATGAGTTTGATGATGAATTTCTTACCAAAAATGTGGAGTCAGTCAGTGTAGCGGATTTAACTGGTCCAAAAGTAATTACAGTTTTTTCTCTTATCTGTGTACATTCTGCTTTATATTTCATATACGGAATTTTAAAAACTACGGCAGAGCGCTACACACCTCACGCACCGGATGCCGTGCGCGCGCTCAAAGCAGCTGGACATAGTGGTGTATTAGAGGTAAAATATGATATAAATACTGTTGGGTTTCTGGCACAAACCGATGGTTTCGTGTGTTAGGACATCAATGTGTCGTCACGAGCCGCAGGGTTTAATTTGGATTTGTCGGTGCATGTTTTTTTTACTCTCATAGATTTTGTTACCATTGCCATGCATTATACGACTGACAGACTGCAACGGTTTGAGTTAAAAATCTCCGTTTGTGTTCTACTGAAGAAACAAAGTCACCTACATCTTGGATGCCCTGGGGGTAAGCAGATAAACATCACATCTTCATTTTTGGGTGAACTATCCCTTTAATGCATCTGTTTTGAGTTTTTACATGTCATGCCACTTTATGGGTGTGATATTTCTTTTACATCTCACAGCTTGTGGATCTGAAGGTTCACAACCTTTGTATCCATATTTTCTCTCTGAATGATGACAGTCCCAGCATGCTTGCTCTTGAAGAGGAGGAGGAGCTTTCTGCTGCCAATCACTGGCTCCTCCCAGCAGATGATCATGCATGACACGCCCCTTTTAATGCAAATCACATTCACATGGAATCCTTCCTTCGGAAATTTAAATTCTGGGATTATTTACTTGCTCCAAACCATTTTTTTAATACTTGGAATATGTGATGCATGGACTACTAAGATGTTGTCTATTACATGGGAAAAAATTATTTTATCAATTTAACACATCCTTGCTGAATATAAGCATTAATTTCTTTAAAAATAAATAAATAAATAAATAAAAATGACAGAGCCTAAACCTTTGAACGGTCGTGTATAATGTTTCAAATGCTGTTCTTTTAAACTTTTTATTCATAAAAGAATCCTGAAAAAAGTATCACAGGCTCCAAAAAAAACAAGTAAGCGGCAAAACTGTAATAAATCAGCATATTATACTGATTTCTGAAGATCATGTGACACTGAAGACTGGAGTAATGATGCTGGAAATACAGCTGCGCATCACAGAAATAAATTACATTTTAAAGTACATTAAAATAGAAATCCATTATTTTAAATTGTAATAATATTTCACAATATTACAGTTTTTTCTGTATTTCTGATTGAATAAATGCAGCCTTGACGAGCAGAAGAGACGTCTTTAAAAATCGTAGTTATTCCTAACTTCTGAATGCCAGTATAAGTAGTATTGCAAAACTGTGATTGCATTCCCATAACATGACCTTTGTCTTCACTTCGGTCTCCAGCTCTTGGATTATGTTTCGACAACAATTTTCTTCTCTGACAGAAACGTCGACAGCAATTTGATTGCCTGGAATCGTGTCGTGTTACTTCACGGTAAGACAGTAAAAGCTTGTTTGAAAGCTCAGCACTTTCTGTCTTCTGCCATGTTTATACAGTTGCGCGTCTTTCCTAACCCCTCAGGGCCGCCTGGCACAGGGAAGACGTCTCTGTGTAAAGGACTTGCCCAGAAACTCTCCATCAGACTGTCTGGCAGGTGAGACATCTTCATAAAAGCAGACCGGCAGCTGTAGAGCGTCCTGTGTCTATTTACCATTGTTTGTGCGTTTCCACCCGAAACAGGTATGCACACAGCCAGTTCGTGGAGATTAACAGCCACAGCCTCTTCTCCAAGTGGTTCTCAGGGGTCCGTCTGGATCCGTCTGCTCTGAAACGCTTCCTCAGATCCGTGTCTGAAACCTCATTGACATCTGGTCACAAAGATGTTTCAGAAGATTCAGCTCTGGTGTTTGTCCTGATAGACGAGGTTCTCTCTTTTTTACGTCATTAATGTCCGCTCGTGTCTTTTGTTTTGTTTCCTTTGACTCACTCTTGCTCAACAAAACCATTGAAACCAGTCGGTTTGTTGGCCAACAAACAGCTTTTCTCAGTTAAATCTGGTCTTAACTGTTCAGACTGGTCTTTTAGACTGGTTTAGAAAAGCTATAAACCACGAGAACCCTTGCTTTACAGTGATATTACCTCCTCATTAACACTGTAATTCACATCCTCTAATGAATGATGATTTGATTATAGGTGAATCTGTTTTATTGGTCGGTTGATTTCAATTCCAGTACATTTTTTCTAAAACAGCTTGGATATTTTGATATATTGATATTTTTTTTCCACCCTTTGGCATGTCTTTAGGAAGCCATTAATTGTAAAAACCATTTTGTTTAGGCAAAGTCATTTGGAAAATGG